TGTGTTACCTGTTGTTTTGTCTGTACAGCACTTTGGTTGGCCTTGTTGCTGTTTTAAGTGCTTTATAAATAAAGTGGTATGGTATGGTATGGTATGGTAAGGTATGGTAAGTTGACGGAGGAGAGGGTGGACTCCAGAAACCATTTGAGCACCACCAAACTAATCGACCCACTATGTGAAGGTACTATTTATAAGACTGAGTTTTTTCGCAGTTCCTTGGACTGATGAAGTCTTTTGGATGAAAGATGAAATGTTTCAACAAAAAGAAACAGTCCAGAGGACCTGACTTAACTTTGTTGGATTTTTTTATTTATTTATTTTTTTTACAATTTTCACGTCCCAAGCTGTGTCTAGGAAAACCAAATTTAATAAAGTGTACTTGAGTGTAACATGACTGAAGAAGTCTATAGGAGAGTAGAGTTGTAGTTGAGAAGCATTTCTTCAGACAGGACTCCACTGAGCCACTGTTGTGAAGTTGATTATTTTTAATCCATAATCTGCAGAGCAGCTAAAGACAGAACTGTGAGGTTAAATTACAACAAATTTTTAAGAAAGGCTCTGGATTTATTAGTCTTTCAGTGCTGCTTTACTGCGGTAAATGAGTGACACGGCTCCACGGACCTGAGCTAAAGAGTTCACACATCTGCTGTGTGGTTGTCCTGGAATCAACCTGAGTTAGGTCTTGGCTTTGGGCCGCTGCCACACGCATGCACACACCTGCAAGACCAAAGTGAGGTAATACCAAACCAACGTTTCCCCTGACACTCATGGAAAATCTGCTCAGTATAACCCTCAACAGAATGAAGCTTTGGGTTTTGGGTTGTAAGCATGTCAGTACTGACAAGACAGTTTTAGGTGCAGGACAACAATATGAGGTGTTTTAGGATGTCTTCACTGTCATATAATGAAGGCCCAGCAGTCCTTGAAGGACAGCACATACCCCACCTCGTGTAATGCAGAGAAATGATGTCTGGTGAAAACTGGAAATCAACTTTAAACATGATCTGTTTGGACCCGACTCTGTTGTAATGAATGAATTATTCTCAGATTCAGATAACTTTATTTATCCCTGAGAGGTAATTCATTCTGGCAGTTTCCAGACTTAATTGTTAAACAAACATGCACACACGCACGTGCACACACACACATTCATGCAGCACTCTTTTTTTCATTCAACCTTTATTTAGACAGGTTAATCCCATTGAGCCTTGGGGACTCATTTACAAGAGAGACCTGATTTCAACAAAGAATGATGAAAAACAATAGACAATCATAAAAGATGTGTACAAATTGAGATTTTTTTTTTTGACAAATAAAAACAAAATGGTATTTAAAAGAAAATGTAACAAAAAAACAGCTAGATTATAAGGTGGTGTAGAAAACTAAAAACAGGAACATCTCTGCATTGGTTTTTGCCATATACAAAGCAAATGTTTGAAGCCACTTAGAGAGGTCAAGGTCGAGAGCTTCAGATCTTTTTGTAAGATATTCCAGGAAACAGGAGCAGAGTAGGAGAAGGCCCTTTTGCCAAGTTCAGTCCTCACTGAGGGAACACTGCAGGTAATAATGTCCTGAGAGCGCACGCTGTAGCTGCACTCATGCAGAGACATGTAGAAGGAGATGTATGAAGACAGCAGACCAAGAAGTGATTTAAAGATGAAAATGTACCAGTGAGAGAGTCTGTGTGAAGTTAGTTATGTCCAGTTAACCAGTGAATACAGGGTGCAGTGGTGGGTACTGTAGTTACAGCCAGTTATGAATCTTAGTGCACCATGATAGACAGCATCCAACATCTGCAGGGTTCTTGTAGGAGCGTTCATGTAAATAATGTCACCGTAATCAATGGAGGGAAGGAAAGTCACAGATACAAGGTGTTTCCTGACATTCAGAGTTAGACAGGATCTGTTTCTGAAAAGTAAACCCAGTTTAACTTTCAGTTTCCTTACTAGGTTTTTCACGTGGAGCTTAAAAGAGTGATGTGAGTCGACCAAGATACCCAAATATTTATAGGAATCAACAAACTCAATAGGGACACCATTCGAGGATAAAATCGAAGGAAGAACTGCTGGGACCGACTTCCTGTTGGAAAAAGCATTTCTTTGGTTTTGTCGGCATTTAGGACAAGTTTGAGGTGGAACAAATCTGACTAGATTATGTCAAAAGTGGATTGCAAAAGCTGGAAAACCTGTTTTAGCTCGACAATAAACAACTGTGTCATCGGCATAGAAATGTAAGGATGCATCAGGGATGCTCTGACCTACATTACCTATATAGATTATAAAGAGGGTGGGTCCTAAGAATGAGCCTTGTAGTACACCATTGTTGACTGCTAAATAACTGGAGGAAGTACCATTATGTTGAACACATTGCTTCTGATCTGTAAGATAGCTAGTGAACCAACAAAAGGTGTGATCTGAGAAATCAGTTTCTGAGAGCTTATGACACAAGATGTCATGATCCACAGCGTCAAAAGTTTTAAACAGGTCTAAGAAAAGTGCAGCACAATAATCCTCCAGTGTTCTACTACATCTCTACAAAGATAATCTGAATCTGTAGAAACTAATTAGAGCTTTAGATCACATTCATACACCGATGGGACACACATCAGAGACAATGAGTGGTTCAGTGTCTTGCCGAGGGACACTTCAACATGTGACTGCTGGTGGAATTGAACCCCCAACTCTCCCATTGGAAGAGGACTGCTCTAACCACTCATCCACAGCTGCCTGTAAATATAGGTAAAAACATTATCAGTGTCAGTGTGAGGACACGAGTCCTGGTCCTGAAACCCTCGGCTCTGCTTGAAGAACCTTCTCAGATCCCGCCTTTTTACGTCGAGGTCTATCTGCATGTGTCACCTTAACCAAACCAACTGCAACGCAACGCTTTCTGAGAAAAGATATCCTCATCAGGGTCCCACCCTCTCTGCAGGGAGGAAACCAAGACAAACCGGCCTGCAGCGAGTGAGGGGGACAATGTGATGGACGCATGTCCTCGGCAGGTGGACGCTCCCCTGGACAGAACGAAGACATGGTGTATTTAAAATAACCTTACAGCATCACCGTTAGACGCCTTGTTCTTTACAAGGAAGCACAATAAAACACGTGTTCTGCACATATGCCCTTCAGCAGGCCTGTCTCCAACATGGCTGCTTAAAGATCAAAACAAAGAAACCACATGAAGAAGAAACGGTTCAAACTTCCATGAAAACCTGTGTTTGTCTGGGAGGAGGAAGTAAATGCAGCTTTATTCAAAGAGCACAGATGATGCAATGATGAGCCAGAATGATGGGTCCTGTTGGGGGGGGGGGGGGGGGGGGCACAGATATCTTATCTGTATCTTAACAGGCTTGAGCCCACAGCGATGGGCTGAAACATCCTGACATCTTTCAGTTAGCCCCACGCTTTAAGAGGAGATAAAAGATGAAAAGTTTAACTTTAGAGTTAATTTAGTTTCCTAACGAGAGCACATTTACCTCTGGATGATGTGGACTCTGTCTGCAGGTCACTGCATGAAACACCCAACTTCATTTTCTAATTAAACTTCATGTTAATCTGAAAACTGACAGTTTAGTTCATGCAGGTAACAAAGACTTTGAAACTGCTGAAATATTTCACTTTTTTACCAACCACACTGTAAGAACAGCGAGGCTCCAAGGGCAGAGGTCACAAAGGTCAGGACTTCAAGTACAAGGGGGTCCACTGTCCAGGAAAATGGGGAGTGTGGTAAAGAGGTGAAGAAGAGAGTCCAGGCAGGATGGAGGGGAAGGAGAAAAGTTTCAGGAGTGACTTGTGACTAAAAGGTGTCAGCAAAGGTCAAAGGAAAAGTTTACAAACAGTGGTGAGACCAGCTATGTTCAATGGTCTGGAGACAGAGACATGGACAAAAAGACAGGAGACAGAACTGGAAGTAACAGAAATGAAGATGTTGAAGTTCTCCTTAGGAGTGACAAGGATTTTTGTTTCCATTCAACCTTTATGTCTACAGGTTAGTCTCAATGAGTCATGAGGACTTATTTTCAAGAGACCTGTTTTAGACAAAACCACAGATAAGGTACTGACAACAATAAACAATACAATTCAAATACAATAAAAAGTAGTGTTATAAAACAACATCAAATCAAGGCTTCTTATGAAGCAGCTTGTTTGTTGTTTGTGAACCCTGATTTTCTTTGCTCTGTTTGTTTTTAACCTTCAGATGTCCCAGTGTGAGGAGGCTTTTCATCTGATGTATCTACAGGTTGTCATCACTCTTTGTTAAAACAAGGTCTCTCCTGTAAATGAGTCCCCGAGGCTCAAAGGGATTAACTTGTCTAAAGTCTGGATGAAAAAAAAAGTGGTGGGCTTTCAGGAGCAGTGTGTGTGTGTGTGTGTGTGTGTGTGTTAAATTAACACAACAACACGGCCTTGTTTCATCAATGAGCGGATGCAGGAGACTGGATCTGAACTGTCTCTGGGGCCGAGCCTGCACCCAGCAGGTCGGGGGTCAGCAGACAGGCCACCAGCTCTTCTCAGTCCACCTGTCAGGTAAGAAAACTGAAATCTCTTGCTTTATTGTTTGGGAACAGTCTGTTTTTGATATGAGAGAACATGTTGGATTACATGCAGCTGCATTTTACAGCACCCCCCACCCTCCCCCTCAGTCACTGATCTGACATTCCTTTGTTTGTTTGTTTGTTTGTTTTGGGATGGAGGAGATTAGGAATGAGATCATCATTGGTACAGCACAGACTGAAGGACTGGGAGATATAAATATAGAGTAAACCTGAGGATCTAACAAGGTTCAGTCTCTGGAGAGGACCTGAACCTCAGGAGCTCTGTGTGGAACCTGCAGGAGAAACCTCAACAACAGCGACCTCGTGTGGCTGAAACAAGAACTACACCAGAATGAAACAAAACGGATTTATTTATGAAACATGACGTCTGTTCAGAGTGTAAGAACCAGAACATACAAACACTCAGCATCATCACATCTGCAGTCCAGTCGGGTCAGTCCCGGCTTTAGTGTCCAGGTCGGAACGGGAACGCCATCCCTGACATGAATGGCTGAGCGGCGTACTGAGCGTGAGAGGCTGGGTGAGCGGCCAGAGGCGTGTGAGGGGAGCGTGTGGGGAGCGCGGCATGGGGGCTGTAGGCCAGCGGAGGGGTGTGGATGTTGTTGTAGAACATCACCGGGCCGGACAGAACCAGCTGGAGCAAACTGGAACACAAAGAAACAAAGAGTCACACGTACACAGCAGCAACAGGAAGACTACTGCAGGAGAATACAAGAGAAACATGGAACACAAAGACACAAAGAGTCACACGTACACACAGCAACAGGAAGACTACTGCAGGAGAATACAAGAGAAACAATAAACACCACCTGAGGACGGGACTTGATGACATCATCACCCCTCCACCTGCTCACAACATTAATGTCAGGCTCATTCCATTCATGTGTTGTAGAAATCAAACTGACACGTCAAAGAGGACATTTTAAATCTGATTTAAAGGATCCGTGAGGATCAAGATCTTCAGACCACCTGTTTTACACACGTCCACCTGCACTCTGCTGCCCAGAACCAGAACACGGGTCCAGTCAGATCCACCTGCACTCTGCTGCCCAGAACCAGAACACGGGTCCAGTCAATCACATGATGGCCAGCCCTCACTTGAAAACTCAACAGCTACGACTGTGACTGTTTTACTGAGCTCACATTCAGAGTGGTAGTAGCTGACAGTCTTCAAGACCATCACACTGAACAACCCTCTGATTAAAAACGCGGCACAAATTGTTGAAGTTACCCCCATTAGTCTGTCAGTAAAATATGTCATGAACCACTGAGCAGGTCTCAATCTTCCTTCCTGCAGTGAACTCACACAGAAGATTCAACAGTTGTTTTACGCTGGACGTCCTTCCTGATGCAACCAGGACTCAAACCTGCAGCCTCAAGGTTACGGGACTGCAGCACCAACCACCGACTCACCGTGTCTCACTGAACAGAGCCCGCTGAAACGCTCAAATAACAAATATCAACGACTGTACATCTCCCGATGAACTTCTGGAATCTGACCAAATCACAACTAATGGACTGAGTTTTACAGTAACTGAGCCAAAACTGGTGGTGGCTGTAGTGTTGTAGCACTCGAGACCGGTCTTGGTCTTGACTTGGACTCGGGTTAGGTGGTCTTGATACAACACTAGGTGGCTGACAGTCATTCTCCATCACACACTGTGAAGTCTTACGTGAGACGGACCTGAATGCTCTTCAGTCTTTATAATATTTACATTTATGTTTATATTGTTTATCAAGTTTATATTGTTTATAATGTTTATATTGTTTATCAAGTTTATAATGT